TTTACAATCATAACTTTGAAATTGTTTACAGATACATTGAGTCATTGAAATACTTAAAAAAAATAATACATTTTCCACTTGACTAAAAGTAGGTATATGTGTATTAACGACTGGTTTTATTAAACTGATCAAAAAATTCATTCGAAGCTTTAGTTTTGTACAAAACGTTATTCAAATACTCTTCTTTATTTTTCTGTTCGTTAGCTAGAACTAAGTTGAAGTCCTTTATTCAATCTTCCAAGTTTCTAAAAGTATATAAATAAAATGTATTATTTACAATTTAAAGCGTTCAATCAATTAATGTTGTATAATATAATTATTTAGATAGGTATTCAAAAAATCATCAAAATAATCTGTAAGCCATTACAAGTTAAAACTTGTAGGTAATGAAATATTAGGACATTAGGTATCAAATTTTCTAAAATCCATAATTTGTCCCACTATTAAGGGAAAAAAATATAAATAAAACCAGTTTTCTTCATTTCCCCATACACTATTATGTCTAAGATATTGAAAATCGGTATAAATGTGTATTTAGACTAGGTATGTCTTTCTGTTGCATCAAATTGTGTAACATTTATGAATATTTCATACAGTGTCGAGAAAAAAAAAACACGTTCTAAAGGATGACCCGATTCCTAAAAGAGTTATCTTTGTAGGAATGAAGCTGGAACTGTTTCCTTCATTAAATATAAAAAAAAAAATGAATATGAACGAATTTTATTTAGGAACGTGAACAAAAATCAGTTTCTTTTGTAAATTTTGGGGAAAAACAAATTTTCAAACCCGTTTAAACCTATACAATACTACAGATAGGTAAAAACAGAATGATTTTTTTTTTATTACCGCCTTTTTTTAACATTAATAAGTTATTATGTATAGATAGAGTAAATAACTCGATTTTGAAAAAATGGCAATAACCACGACGTTTTTAGATTGTGACCCACACATTTTTGTTTCAACATTAAACTAAATCTTCTTAGAAGAGTATGTATAAATACCTTTTTTTCTTTTGCATTTCTCGATCGCTGAGTGTGCCGCACCTGGCCAGTATATTTAAAAGATCGGCCCAATCTTTTTCTTGTTTATCGTATGCCTCTTTTCGTATCTGAAATTATATAAAACCAATTTTACTATTTTCTGTTTATTTGTTAGTTCTTAATATTGATGTATTGGGGTTTTATTAAGGATACTTAAGTCATGGACGGAGAGGGCATACAATATTATATATCTACTATAACTCTCGATACATTACCAATAAATTCTGAAATATTTGTAGTTAATTACAAAAATAACCCGAATTCATTTAAAAGTACCTAAATGAATTGTCTTAATTTTTGTCCAATTCAAATCCTGACAAGAGTTGGGTATTGCTATTTTAATGTTAGATTTATACATATTTTATATTAATAATATGTTGGTGAATTATTCTTTTAAATTAAGAATTACCTACATATTATTTAAATTTTAAAGAAAATAATATTATACGGACCATTGTTGAGTTCTTATTCTTGGGAAATAAAGCACATAATATTGTAAAATCTATCAATTCATCGCTCCGACCCGATTCTAAAATAATAATAAATTCTAATATTTAAAAACAGTCGTAATATTTTGGATTTTTAAAACTAAAAAAGTAGTATGAACCTATATTGTGTACAAATAAAAATATTTTTATTACAGGATGATTCAATAAGCATGTCCTTCCTCTTTTATTATTCAATAAAAATATGCAGTTATTCAAAATCTGTTTTTTGGAATTTTTAAATTCACTGAAAGACCATAATATTTTAAAATGCTCGAGATTTTTTTTTACTTCTTAATGAGTGTCCAGTTTTTCAACTGAAAATTATTCAGTGGATAATTATTTTGGAAAATTTGACGAATCAGAATAAAAATGTTTACCAGTAGTTTTTAAGTGACTTAACTTTCTGTTGAATGATCCTGGAACGGGTTTATAATAGATATGTGAGCTATTTTAAATTGAAAATTCTAATAATTAATATTAATCTATTAACATTAATAATTTGTGTAAATGGCCCAAATATATGTATAATAAATACTAGATCAAATATTACGTTTTTTTTATACTTCTGTAAAACTATTTTTAATAACTATTATATCCTTAGTACAAACATTTTAATAACTAAGAAACTACTACCCATTTGAATTTTGAATTATGTTCATCAAAATTTTCAAAACAATTATATACTAGTTACTAGTACTAGTAGTACACACTACATAGTAATTAAGCAACTATATTATGCAGTGGCTTATTTAGGAATTCTACAAGGGGGGATGAAATATATAATAATAGATACACCCATAAATACGTGCATAATATACATTTTTAAAATCCCCTAACTTGTTGAGGTTAGTGTGGGATCAAGGCGAAATGAGAATTTACACAAATTGTACCTAATAGCATATACCAATACACATTTTTTTACAAATATTTTTACAAAAAAAAATAAAATCTTTATCACGGGTTACACCGGGCGGGACAGCTAGGTAGGTAAATATTATTATAAAATTAATAATAAACTATTTTGATCATTACTCATTAGTAATTTTAATTTATTCTTAATTGTACGAAGATGAAATACCTTAAGTTCTGCCCTTTGACTGGCTTGTTCATCGTATATCGCTTGTTTCATGGCCGGCGTTAATCCTTAGTAGAGCGACGTCGATATTTTTCCGGGCCCTAAAGCACTGTTGAACCCGAGTTCGGGATTTTCCGTCAAAAAGTCTCCTGTGATCGCGTTGTACACTTCTGCCATTTTGTCTTCGTTGCTCTCGGCTTCCATAATACTTTTGTTCATTTTTTGCTCGGACGCCTAAATTTGAACAAAATATAGTCGATATTTGTGTTCATTGTCATTCACTGTCGAGTTCATCACTATAGAACAATACTGCCACGATTGAAAAAGTTTAGTTTTGAGAAAAAGCTATTTAAAGATAGTTCTTTACCTATGCGTTTGGTACTATAAAAACTTAAAAACTTACAAACACTTTTTCAAATATTATGAAATAGTCTCATATAAACCCACAAAGTTAGACTTATAGCATTTCACAATTTTTTTAAACAAATTTAGTAAAACATTTCTATTTATAAACACGCAAGACTGCAGTAGTATTTCGTATGACAGCTGCGATATCATAATTTTATTATAAGAAAATGCAATATCGACCAACTGAACTCTAAATATCGAAGAAGTCTTGAATTTTGACTTCAGTGATTAATTGGATAATGTAAAATACTTATATTTTATATAGGTAGGTACTGCCCCATAGAGTAAAAATGCCTCACTTGCTTTAAAAATTAGCTTAATAACATTATATAATTCAATACTGATACATATTTTTAGTGGCTAGATGAAAAATAATAATATTGAATGTGGCGGTCTTGTATTATTAGAGCTTTAAAAGTAAGTCAAAATTGATGAATTTTCAGTAGTGGCTGCAGTCAATTCTTACTAAAATACATTTTAACTTGTAATTTAAATCCAACATTGAAATCAAATATTGAAAAAATGAATTACCTTTCAGACAATACAGACTATACTTCCATTAGAACTGAAGATTTCACAAGGGATGTACACGGACTTATTTTTGACATGTCAAAGGAAGTTGTACTTCCTAGTTGATATTGGGAGATTGACCTTGGTGCCCAAAATGCAATAGGTTTTTATCAACGAGACGCCTGGTTTTATATGTTCTTTAATGCAGCATATTCAATAAGTTCCTCTCTCTGTAAAATTCAGATTCTATGTAATCACTTTCATCATAATTATCATTGAAATACTTAAAAAAAATAATACATTTTCCACTTGACTAAAAGTAGGTATATGTGTATTAACGACTGGTTTTATTAAACTGATCAAAAAATTCATTCGAAGCTTTAGTTTTGTACAAAACGTTATTCAAATACTCTTCTTTATTTTTCTGTTCGTTAGCTAGAACTAAGTTGAAGTCCTTTATTCCATCTTCCAAGTTTCTAAAAGTATATAAATAAAATGTATTATTTACAATTTAAAGCGTTCAATCAATTAATGTTGTATAATATAATTATTTAGATAGGTATTCAAAAAATCATCAAAATAATCTGTAAGCCATTACAAGTTAAAACTTGTAGGTAATGAAATATTAGGACATTAGGTATCAAATTTTCTAAAATCCATAATTTGTCCCACTATTAAGGGAAAAAAATATAAATAAAACCAGTTTTCTTCATTTCCCCATACACTATTATGTCTAAGATATTGAAAAATAGGTATAAATTTGTATTTAGAATAGTTATGTCTTTCTGTTGCATCAAATTATGTGTATACATTTATGAATAATTTCATACAGTGTCGAGAAAAAACACGTTCTAAAAGGATGACCCGATTCCTAAAACGAGTTATCTTTGTAGGAATGAAGCTGGAACTGTTTCCTTCATAAAATATAAAAAAAAAAAATGAATATGAACGAATTTTATTTAGGAACGTGAACAAAAATCAGTTTCTTTTGTAAATTTTGGTGAAAAACAAATTTTCAAACCCGTTTAAACCTATACAATACTACAGATAGGTAAAACAGAATTGATTTTTTTTTTAATTACCGCCTTTTTTTAACATTAATAAGTTATTATGTATAGATAGAGTAAATAACTCGATTTTGAAAAAATGCCAATACCACGACGTTTTAGATTGTGACCACACATTTTTGTTTCAACATTAAAACTAAATCTTCTTAGAAGAGTATTATAAATACCTTTTTTTCTTTTGCATTTCTCGATCGCTGAGTGTGCCGCACCTGGCCAGTATATTTAAAAGATCGGCCCAATCTTTTTCTTGTTTATCGTATGCCTCTTTTCGTATCTGAAATTATATAAAACCAATTTTACTATTTTCTGTTTATTTGTTAGTTCTTAATATTGATGTATTGGGGTTTTATTAAGGATACTTCATGGACGGAGAGGGCATACAATATTATATATCTACTATAACTATCGATACATTACCAATAAATTCTGAAATATTTGTAGTTAATTACAAAAATAACCCGAATTCATTTAAAAGTACCTAAATGAATTGTCTTAATTTTTGTCCAATTCAAATCCTGACAAGAGTTGGGTATTGCTATTTTAATGTTAGATTTATACATATTTTATATTAATAATATGTTGGTGAATTATTCTTTTAAATTAAGAATTACCTACATATTATTTAAATTTTAAAGAAAATAATATTATACGGACCATTGTTGAGTTCTTATTCTTGGGAAATAAAGCACATAATATTGTAAAATCTATCAATTCATCGCTCCGACCCGATTCTAAAATAATAATAAATTCTAATATTTAAAAACAGTCGTAATATTTTGGATTTTTAAAACTAAAAAAGTAGTATGAACCTATATTGTGTACAAATAAAAATATTTTTATTACAGGATGATTCAATAAGCATGTCCTTCCTCTTTTATTATTCAATAAAAATATGCAGTTATTCAAAATCTGTTTTTTGGAATTTTTAAATTCACTGAAAGACCATAATATTTTAAAATGCTCGAGATTTTTTTTACTTCTTAATGAGTGTCCAGTTTTTCAACTGAAAATTATTCAGTGGATAATTATTTTGGAAAATTTGACGAATCAGAATAAAAATGTTTACCAGTAGTTTTTAAGTGACTTAACTTTCTGTTGAATGATCCTGGAACGGGTTTATAATAGATATGTGAGCTATTTTAAATTGAAAATTCTAATAATTAATATTAATCTATTAACATTAATAATTTGTGTAAATGGCCCAAATATATGTATAATAAATACTAGATCAAATATTACGTTTTTTTTATACTTCTGTAAAACTATTTTTAATAACTATTATATCCTTAGTACAAACATTTTAATAACTAAGAAACTACTACCCATTTGAATTTTGAATTATGTTCATCAAAATTTTCAAAACAATTATATACTAGTTACTAGTACTAGTAGTACACACTACATAGTAATTAAGCAACTATATTATGCAGTGGCTTATTTAGGAATTCTACAAGGGGGGATGAAATATATAATAATAGATACACCCATAAATACGTGCATAATATACATTTTTAAAATCCCCTAACTTGTTGAGGTTAGTGTGGGATCAAGGCGAAATGAGAATTTACACAAATTGTACCTAATAGCATATACCAATACACATTTTTTTACAAATATTTTTACAAAAAAAAATAAAATCTTTATCACGGGTTACACCGGGCGGGACAGCTAGGTAGGTAAATATTATTATAAAATTAATAATAAACTATTTTGATCATTACTCATTAGTAATTTTAATTTATTCTTAATTGTACGAAGATGAAATACCTTAAGTTCTGCCCTTTGACTGGCTTGTTCATCGTATATCGCTTGTTTCATGGCCGGCGTTAATCCTTAGTAGAGCGACGTCGATATTTTTCCGGGCCCTAAAGCACTGTTGAACCCGAGTTCGGGATTTTCCGTCAAAAAGTCTCCTGTGATCGCGTTGTACACTTCTGCCATTTTGTCTTCGTTGCTCTCGGCTTCCATAATACTTTTGTTCATTTTTTGCTCGGACGCCTAAATTTGAACAAAATATAGTCGATATTTGTGTTCATTGTCATTCACTGTCGAGTTCATCACTATAGAACAATACTGCCACGATTGAAAAAGTTTAGTTTTGAGAAAAAGCTATTTAAAGATAGTTCTTTACCTATGCGTTTGGTACTATAAAAACTTAAAAACTTACAAACACTTTTTCAAATATTATGAAATAGTCTCATATAAACCCACAAAGTTAGACTTATAGCATTTCACAATTTTTTTAAACAAATTTAGTAAAACATTTCTATTTATAAACACGCAAGACTGCAGTAGTATTTCGTATGACAGCTGCGATATCATAATTTTATTATAAGAAAATGCAATATCGACCAACTGAACTCTAAATATCGAAGAAGTCTTGAATTTTGACTTCAGTGATTAATTGGATAATGTAAAATACTTATATTTTATATAGGTAGGTACTGCCCCATAGAGTAAAAATGCCTCACTTGCTTTAAAAATTAGCTTAATAACATTATATAATTCAATACTGATACATATTTTTAGTGGCTAGATGAAAAATAATAATATTGAATGTGGCGGTCTTGTATTATTAGAGCTTTAAAAGTAAGTCAAAATTGATGAATTTTCAGTAGTGGCTGCAGTCAATTCTTACTAAAATACATTTTAACTTGTAATTTAAATCCAACATTGAAATCAAATATTGAAAAAATGAATTACCTTTCAGACAATACAGACTATACTTCCATTAGAACTGAAGATTTCACAAGGGATGTACACGGACTTATTTTTGACATGTCAAAGGAAGTTGTACTTCCTAGTTGATATTGGGAGATTGACCTTGGTGCCCAAAATGCAATAGGTTTTTATCAACGAGACGCCTGGTTTTATATGTTCTTTAATGCAGCATATTCAATAAGTTCCTCTCTCTGTAAAATTCAGATTCTATGTAATCACTTTCATCATAATTATCATTGAAATACTTAAAAAAAATAATACATTTTCCACTTGACTAAAAGTAGGTATATGTGTATTAACGACTGGTTTTATTAAACTGATCAAAAAATTCATTCGAAGCTTTAGTTTTGTACAAAACGTTATTCAAATACTCTTCTTTATTTTTCTGTTCGTTAGCTAGAACTAAGTTGAAGTCCTTTATTCCATCTTCCAAGTTTCTAAAAGTATATAAATAAAATGTATTATTTACAATTTAAAGCGTTCAATCAATTAATGTTGTATAATATAATTATTTAGATAGGTATTCAAAAAATCATCAAAATAATCTGTAAGCCATTACAAGTTAAAACTTGTAGGTAATGAAATATTAGGACATTAGGTATCAAATTTTCTAAAATCCATAATTTGTCCCACTATTAAGGGAAAAAAATATAAATAAAACCAGTTTTCTTCATTTCCCCATACACTATTATGTCTAAGATATTGAAAAATAGGTATAAATTTGTATTTAGAATAGTTATGTCTTTCTGTTGCATCAAATTATGTGTATACATTTATGAATAATTTCATACAGTGTCGAGAAAAAACACGTTCTAAAAGGATGACCCGATTCCTAAAACGAGTTATCTTTGTAGGAATGAAGCTGGAACTGTTTCCTTCATAAAATATAAAAAAAAAAAATGAATATGAACGAATTTTATTTAGGAACGTGAACAAAAATCAGTTTCTTTTGTAAATTTTGGTGAAAAACAAATTTTCAAACCCGTTTAAACCTATACAATACTACAGATAGGTAAAACAGAATTGATTTTTTTTTTAATTACCGCCTTTTTTTAACATTAATAAGTTATTATGTATAGATAGAGTAAATAACTCGATTTTGAAAAAATGCCAATACCACGACGTTTTAGATTGTGACCACACATTTTTGTTTCAACATTAAAACTAAATCTTCTTAGAAGAGTATTATAAATACCTTTTTTTCTTTTGCATTTCTCGATCGCTGAGTGTGCCGCACCTGGCCAGTATATTTAAAAGATCGGCCCAATCTTTTTCTTGTTTATCGTATGCCTCTTTTCGTATCTGAAATTATATAAAACCAATTTTACTATTTTCTGTTTATTTGTTAGTTCTTAATATTGATGTATTGGGGTTTTATTAAGGATACTTCATGGACGGAGAGGGCATACAATATTATATATCTACTATAACTCTCGATACATTACCAATAAATTCTGAAATATTTGTAGTTAATTACAAAAATAACCCGAATTCATTTAAAAGTACCTAAATGAATTGTCTTAATTTTTGTCCAATTCAAATCCTGACAAGAGTTGGGTATTGCTATTTTAATGTTAGATTTATACATATTTTATATTAATAATATGTTGGTGAATTATTCTTTTAAATTAAGAATTACCTACATATTATTTAAATTTTAAAGAAAATAATATTATACGGACCATTGTTGAGTTCTTATTCTTGGGAAATAAAGCACATAATATTGTAAAATCTATCAATTCATCGCTCCGACCCGATTCTAAAATAATAATAAATTCTAATATTTAAAAACAGTCGTAATATTTTGGATTTTTAAAACTAAAAAAGTAGTATGAACCTATATTGTGTACAAATAAAAATATTTTTATTACAGGATGATTCAATAAGCATGTCCTTCCTCTTTTATTATTCAATAAAAATATGCAGTTATTCAAAATCTGTTTTTTGGAATTTTTAAATTCACTGAAAGACCATAATATTTTAAAATGCTCGAGATTTTTTTTTACTTCTTAATGAGTGTCCAGTTTTTCAACTGAAAATTATTCAGTGGATAATTATTTTGGAAAATTTGACGAATCAGAATAAAAATGTTTACCAGTAGTTTTTAAGTGACTTAACTTTCTGTTGAATGATCCTGGAACGGGTTTATAATAGATATGTGAGCTATTTTAAATTGAAAATTCTAATAATTAATATTAATCTATTAACATTAATAATTTGTGTAAATGGCCCAAATATATGTATAATAAATACTAGATCAAATATTACGTTTTTTTTATACTTCTGTAAAACTATTTTTAATAACTATTATATCCTTAGTACAAACATTTTAATAACTAAGAAACTACTACCCATTTGAATTTTGAATTATGTTCATCAAAATTTTCAAAACAATTATATACTAGTTACTAGTACTAGTAGTACACACTACATAGTAATTAAGCAACTATATTATGCAGTGGCTTATTTAGGAATTCTACAAGGGGGGATGAAATATATAATAATAGATACACCCATAAATACGTGCATAATATACATTTTTAAAATCCCCTAACTTGTTGAGGTTAGTGTGGGATCAAGGCGAAATGAGAATTTACACAAATTGTACCTAATAGCATATACCAATACACATTTTTTTACAAATATTTTTACAAAAAAAAATAAAATCTTTATCACGGGTTACACCGGGCGGGACAGCTAGGTAGGTAAATATTATTATAAAATTAATAATAAACTATTTTGATCATTACTCATTAGTAATTTTAATTTATTCTTAATTGTACGAAGATGAAATACCTTAAGTTCTGCCCTTTGACTGGCTTGTTCATCGTATATCGCTTGTTTCATGGCCGGCGTTAATCCTTAGTAGAGCGACGTCGATATTTTTCCGGGCCCTAAAGCACTGTTGAACCCGAGTTCGGGATTTTCCGTCAAAAAGTCTCCTGTGATCGCGTTGTACACTTCTGCCATTTTGTCTTCGTTGCTCTCGGCTTCCATAATACTTTTGTTCATTTTTTGCTCGGACGCCTAAATTTGAACAAAATATAGTCGATATTTGTGTTCATTGTCATTCACTGTCGAGTTCATCACTATAGAACAATACTGCCACGATTGAAAAAGTTTAGTTTTGAGAAAAAGCTATTTAAAGATAGTTCTTTACCTATGCGTTTGGTACTATAAAAACTTAAAAACTTACAAACACTTTTTCAAATATTATGAAATAGTCTCATATAAACCCACAAAGTTAGACTTATAGCATTTCACAATTTTTTTAAACAAATTTAGTAAAACATTTCTATTTATAAACACGCAAGACTGCAGTAGTATTTCGTATGACAGCTGCGATATCATAATTTTATTATAAGAAAATGCAATATCGACCAACTGAACTCTAAATATCGAAGAAGTCTTGAATTTTGACTTCAGTGATTAATTGGATAATGTAAAATACTTATATTTTATATAGGTAGGTACTGCCCCATAGAGTAAAAATGCCTCACTTGCTTTAAAAATTAGCTTAATAACATTATATAATTCAATACTGATACATATTTTTAGTGGCTAGATGAAAAATAATAATATTGAATGTGGCGGTCTTGTATTATTAGAGCTTTAAAAGTAAGTCAAAATTGATGAATTTTCAGTAGTGGCTGCAGTCAATTCTTACTAAAATACATTTTAACTTGTAATTTAAATCCAACATTGAAATCAAATATTGAAAAAATGAATTACCTTTCAGACAATACAGACTATACTTCCATTAGAACTGAAGATTTCACAAGGGATGTACACGGACTTATTTTTGACATGTCAAAGGAAGTTGTACTTCCTAGTTGATATTGGGAGATTGACCTTGGTGCCCAAAATGCAATAGGTTTTTATCAACGAGACGCCTGGTTTTATATGTTCTTTAATGCAGCATATTCAATAAGTTCCTCTCTCTGTAAAATTCAGATTCTATGTAATCACTTTCATCATAATTATCATTGAAATACTTAAAAAAAATAATACATTTTCCACTTGACTAAAAGTAGGTATATGTGTATTAACGACTGGTTTTATTAAACTGATCAAAAAATTCATTCGAAGCTTTAGTT